GAGAGAGAGACACACACATACATGCATCTAACAACTTTAAAACTTTTTATTTAGAAAACTAATGCTGTTGTAGTAGTGATTTGTTATAATTTTCTTATATGAATTGGTTTTCCAGCTTTTCAGACTTTCCATGAGGCGATACAGAAGTTTAAGAAGAGAGAAAAAGATTCAGTCTTTTCACAAAGAACGGACGATGCCTCAGCACTTCAATATTTTCAAGTTTGTTTTACATCTATGTGTATACAGGGTGTTCAGAAATTATGTTTACTTTTAGCCTGTACAAGAATGTTATAGAATATCATGGTTGCACGATAGACTGGTGATTCTACACATTTAGGAGTAAATGTTTGTAGATTTGTTAACATAGGGTCCAGAGACCTTGTATGTGTCGTATATTTTGATGTTCACCAGTACACACACATACAGACAAACAAAAGAAAGTTTTATTATACACAATTTTAATTCATATGTCTCATGGGAAAAAAACAACAAAAAACTAATCAACTGTCATCAAACAATTTATCATCCAGGATGGTATTTTACGTATATAATTTTCTGTGTACTTTTTTGTGAGATTTAGTAAAATTGAATCCTGTCAATTTTCCATGAACAACTTTTAAAGGACACTAGCCAATAAAAAGGTCTTGTTTTTAAAGGACACTAGCCAACAAAAAGGTCTTGTTTCTAAAGGACACTAGCCAATAAAAAGGTCTTGTTTCTAAAGGACACTAGCCAATAAAAAGGTCTTGTTTCTAAAGGACACTAACCAATAAAAAGGTCTTGCTTCTAAAGAACACTAACCAATAAAAAGGTCTTGTTTTTAAATACATTAGCCAATAAAAAGGTCTTGTTTTCAAAGGACACTAACCAATAAAAAGGTATTGTTTTAAAGGACACTAACCAATAAAAAGGTATTGTTTTAAAGGACACTAGCCAATAAAAAGGTATTGTTTTCAGTGATTAATGCATACTGACAACTAGGCTTAGACAGTACAGTTTAGTTGCTAATTTTGTGTTTAGAGAAGTTATGTAACTTGTCATTATAACTTAACAATTAGGTAGTAATTCTGATAGGTATCTTAATTCCTATGGTAATTAATGATTATTGTTAAAGGACGTTCTTAGGGTATAATACTTAACTTTCTCTTTCCTGTATTGTTGAATAGATATTAAAAGGAGTAATTCATCATTTGCTTCGTTGGTTTTCGAGATACTACTTAAGGCATAAGTCATAATGGAAAATTAAAAAAACTGTATGAAATCTTTGAAAAATAAAAGATACAATGACTGCAAAACACGGGTCAACATTCAGCACAAATGATCATCTATAGTTTGTAACATTTTCATAAAATCATTTGTCCTAAACATAAGATAATAATTGGGAAAGACCTCACCTTCAAAAACTTTTGAGGCCAACTGTGTCATTTACCAGTAGGTAGGGCAACAAGGTATGAGTAAAGAAATTTACATTTTAAAGCAGTTGTCAGAATGTTGCAGTATAATTAACACTAGTTAGTTAAATGACAAGTCGGGTTAAAGAATATTTCACTTATGTAAGAGATAACAAACAATAAGACAGGATAATAAAATGTTGCTTTCTATGCTTCAAGATTAGTTTTCTTTCAAAATCTTCACATTACATTAGTAATTTGGGTATTGGTCATTGATGACAGATTTTCTGATACTACAACAGTACCTTTATGGCTGCCTTGCTCAAATCAAACTCGTCGGCAAGTCTGACCTAAGAATACATTTACTTTCCAGCTATTCAGCTTCTAAAGAATAGAAGAACAGTATATTTTACAGAATCTGTAAAACCTTTCTGAACCTAGCTGTACTGCTGAGAACTGATATAGCTCAAGACTCCAGTTCTCAGCTATAGTTATTGAATTTGGTATCAGCTTTCAGTGTTTGATATAACACGTGTTTCTCTGCTTGTTCAGCTCAGTTTTCTTCTCAGAAACAAAATATATTTGTTTCCAAATAGACATCCATGTTTGACTGTTAAGTGTGACCAAACACATTTGCCCAAAATGTCTCAAGGAATAAAAGCACTTTGATAAAGTTTGTGTCTAGAAGATTTTGTGTTCTTACAGCCACATATCTTTGTTGTTGTTGTTTTTCTAGTTTTATGGATTTCTTTCATACTAAACATTGTTGTTGTTTTTCTAGTTTTACAGATATTTTTCCTACTAAAGTTTGTTATGTTTTTGTGTTTTAGAGATATCTTTTGTATTAAACCTTGTTCTTTTTATCTAGTTTTACGAATCTTTGATACTAAACCTTGTTATATTTTTTCGAGTTTTACGGATATCTTTCATACTAAACCTTGTTATTTGTTTAGTTTTACAGATATCTTTTGCACTAAACCTTGTTGTTTTCTGTTTTTATGGATATCTTTCTCACTAAACCTTGTTATTTTTTCTAGTTTTACGGATATCTTTCTCAACAACAGAATATGATGCAAGATTACATACGGACTTCAACATATCAAAGAGCAATTTTGTCGAACGTGGAAGACTTCAAAGACAAGGCATGGTTTGATCTTATCTCTATGTGAAACAACATACTAGTATGATCTCCCTCTAGAAGTCTTTGTTCTCTTTCTTTAATGTCCATCTCTTTTTTCTGCCATGTTTATAACAGCAGTTCTAGTTACCATGTTTTGAGTTTACTGCTATAAATCTTAGCAGAGAAACTATGTAGCTGGAAACTGGAACTTTGGAATGTAACGTAGTTACTGCTTCTTATGACGCTTCTCCTTATATACATTCAAGAACTCCACGTGTGACATATGTGTATATTTCTAGGTTGTTCTAGATGTGGGTGCGGGTTCGGGTATTCTCTCCTTTTTTGCCATTCAAGCAGGAGCTAAGAAAGTGTATGCCGTTGAAGCAAGTTCGATGGCGAAACATGCAGAGGTAAGACGATGCATTTCAGATTTTCTTTGTAATTTGTGATCATATTTAGTATTCAAGTCCTTTTCAAATGGGAAGATAAAGATTGACAATAGTGAAATTCTGCTGTCCTGTAATATTTAATTAACACCATCTACTAAAGTTAAATTTAGGATTATGTGTTTTTCTGTTCCTGCTATAAACTACAAATTAATGAGAGCTTTAGAGAAGTAATATTGTGTTTGACAAATGTTCATGGGATAGCTAATTATCAGTTTTTTCTTTTTGTATAATCATGTGTGAATAACAGTTTTCATTTCAGAAAGCATCCTTAATATATTGTTAATAATCAAGATATTATTCGACACTTACCTGAAACTATATCTATAGTATTGCTGTATAGGTTTTGTTTCTGTGGTATTATTACATTCTGTACTAAATATAGCTTGTTTCTGTTATCTGTAAGCTAGCCCAGTTGCGTAGTCCAGCACTTGGTGATATGCTGGGCTATATCCAAATTTTGATTGTTTCCCTCATTTATAGGCAACAATGATGTGTTTTGCTTCAAGAAACATTTTCTTTGTGTAACTGGTTGTTTTAAAAATCTTACTGATGAATTGGCAAACAGTTTAAAACTAGAACCTATCTAACTTAAAAACCAAGAAAACCACTGGGTATAATTATTATTATATCTAAAGAGGCATTAGTCAATTTTAAACCTTGTAATTTGTTGATTGTTGTATTTCTTGGGATATTCCGAGATTACAGTCCTTTGTGTTTGATGAGCACCATCACGATGATGCTCAAAAACACCCGTAAAATTAGTTGCGAGGGCTTGTTAAAGTCCTTGTCACGTCTGTCACGACACCCACTGTTTTGGGGTTACTACTTTTCGATTGAGATCCTGTTATTATTTGTCACACAATTAAACTATTATTTCTGTGACAAAGTATAGCTCAGATAACTTTGTGTGATCCTTTTGGCTGCTATGACTTTCTTGCTTTAATTTTAATTGTCTTAGACTAGCAATGTTATATGTGCAGTAATACGTTTTTGAACTATATTGTTCTATATAGATATCAGATGTTTGTAACTGAGAAACTAAGTCTGTTTTAAAGTTTATATTACAAAACTGGATGTTTATTAATAGGAAATCCAAACTAGCAAGAAAGTTTTAACAAATTTAATTGTAACCTAGTTGCACTTGATAAACTTCTTTCTGCATGACACGAGGCCTCAAGGGCAGCCATATTGATCGAAGGTTGTCAGAGGTGTTAAAGTTTGAGTCATGAATTTTGTTTTAATTAAGAATGATATGTTTAACTATTATGTATATCATTAAAAAAACAATGTGCTTCGTAATATCAGCTCTGAAGTCTTTAATTTCTTCAATCATAAATGTGCCACTCAACTGTTTGCATCCGAATACAATATCTTAAAGTTAATTAGATCTTAGAAATTTGAAATAAACTAGAAACAAGCTGTTTGTAGGAAGTATAATCTTGGAAAAGTACTTACACACCAAACAAGTATACAAGTTTTACTAAAAATTTCAGTCTATAACTTGTAGATGTATTTTTTTTTATGAACATTGATAACCCAAAAATTTTGTGTTTGTTTTTCAGACCTTGGTATACAATAATAAAGTATCGGAGAAAATTGTATTAATATCAGGAAAAATTGAAGAAATATCACTCCCGGAAAAAGTGGACATAATAATTTCAGAGCCAATGGGATACATGTTATTTAATGAAAGAATGTTAGAAACTTATCTTCATGCCAAGAAGTGGCTTACTTCAAGTGGTAAGTACCGCAGTTTAAGTGGTAAGTACTGCAGTTCCAGTGGTAAGTACCACAGTTCAAGTGGTATGTACCGCAGTTCAAGTGGTAAGTACCGCAGTTTAAGTGGTAAGTACCACAGTTCAAGTGGTATGTACCACAGTTCCAGTGGTATGTACCGCAGTTCAAGTGGTAAGTACCGCAGTTTAAGTGGTAAGTACCGCAGTTTAAGTGGTAAGTACTGCAGTTTAAGTGGTAAGTACCACAGTTCCAGTGGTAAGTACCGCAGTTCCAGTGGTATGTACCGTAGTTCAAGTGTTAAGTACCGTAGTTCAAGTGTTAAGTACCGCAGTTCAAGTGGTAAGTACCGCAGTTCAAGTGGTAAGTACCGCAGTTCAAGTGGTAAGTACCGCAGTTTAAGTGGTAAGTACCGCAGTTCCAGTGGTATGTACCGCAGTTCAAGTGGTAAGTACCGCAGTTCAAGTGGTAAGTACCGCAGTTCCAGTGGTATGTACCGCAGTTCAAGTGGTAAGTACCACAGTTCAAGTTGAATCAGAATCATTGTCGTATTATTCTTCAGGGTTCAAACAGCTGAGCCACAAATAATAATATGACATGTTCTTATGTTTAGTAAATCTTTAATAAGCTGTGTTGATGGTGTTTTATTTTATATTTTTCGGCATTTTATAAATAATGAACCATGAAAAGCTTGAAGAATTTTGTATTTCACAATTACACTCGTCGGGTTTAATTAAAGAGTAAATTGTGATAAATGTAAAAAAAGTTCATAAAACTGTACATCTATTAGAACATATTCTTGTAGTTATCAAACTAATTATGGTTATAAAGAAGATGGTTACATAATATCTGTTATTACAAGATCATGTTTTATTTTGTAATGATGACAGAGAATGGATTATAACGAATGTTAGGTTTTATGTTAAACACTTATAGATTTCCACTTATGTTACAGGAAGCCCTGTTCATATACTGGGAATACAATAGTAGCTGCTAAGAAAGAGGTTTTCGCCTGAAATTGGTTATATACATGGCAATTCTATAATTTTTTCAATAGTTTTAGTCTTATTTAACAATAAAATACTACTTTTTATAGTTGCTGTTAAGATATTTATAGCATCTGCTTTCTGGTATTTATTTTATGTTAGTGCTAGATCGAAAAAGATCTTAGCCATGTGGCTAATTTATCTTAATTTCAATTAGCCACTAAAGGTAACATGCGTTTATCTTAGCGGCTGTATTCACACCAGTCGTTACGTGATTCAGTAGCTACATTTACACCATTAATGCTATGCTTGGTCAGATAGTGAAGCTGTTAGAAAAGGAAAAACCAAATAAAATTTTTTTTATGTCAGTTTCATCACTTTCCGACCTGGTTATCAGCCCAGTGCTATGTTTGAAACACAATATTTAGAATACGTTTCAAAATGTATAGTTCTGTAAATGTAACATTGAATAGTCCTAATCTATGGTTCAAAATGCTATAACCCAACTATCAGAAGTTATTTAGTAATGTTGTTACGTAAGCAACAATAGCTGTTGTTACAGCACTACTGGGTTGCGATTGAGACTCAAAAATACAAAAATATCTGACTGAGCATGTATAGCAGTAATGACATAAATATAGGCATTGAAATCTCATTACGATTAGTGTAAATATGGCCACATCTATTAGTCGTATATTACAGTAGCTGAAATATATATAACATTGTGGTCTGAAGCTGTTGAGAAGTTTTTTCATCATCTTGCTCTTAAGTAAACCTCTGATGCTTATGACAACCAAGGAACGAGTGCCTTGTTTCAGACCAGCGAGACAGAGCTCAATTTATTGGACTACATGATTGTGGCTCTGCTAATCGAAGAAGATGCACTAAAATTGTAAGCCACCGGAGCTGACGGTACCAAAAGGCCATTCAATTCTGCAGCTTGACGATGTAAATAAGTAGATGTAACGTTCTGTATATAAATATGTATGTATCTTACAACATTGATCACATAGCTTGGTTCCAGTCTGTCTAATCTTTTAACGTATAACCTGTCACAGGGAAAATGTTTCCGACAAGAGGAGATCTCCATATAGCCCCCTTTACGGATGCTGCACTCTTTATGGAACAACTTAACAAGGCTAACTTCTGGTGAGTTATTTCCCAGTTTCTGTAATTAAATCTCTACAATCTTGTTTAGCTGGAAATGTTACTTTATTTTACTGCCTTCAGTGTGCAGTTTTCTCCTGTTGATGCTGTTGGGAAGAGGAACACTAGCTTTCTGGGTTTGCCAGTTTTTCTGAATGACAGTAATATTAAATCAAATAAAAGTATAATAAGTATGTGATACTGTGTCATTAATCCCTAACCTAAAACCTGAGTTGTAACTGACTTAAATATAATTGATGATCGTTATGATTCACTTACACAATAACAGTCTTTGTTCTTAAAATTTGATGATATAAATAGCTGTTAGACCACTACTATGTTTGTTCTATCGAAGCCACCTGGTATTTGGTGAAAGACTTCACTAGCACTGGATCGGCAGATGTAGTTCGGTTGAAAGGTTATTATAGAACCCTCTTTACTTTTACTCATAAGTCTAATAATTATCAAAGTAATTTTCTCCTATTGACAGTTTGGTTCCTTGATCAACTCTGGGATCAAGATCACCAGTTTGCTTATATGAGCAGCATAATTCAATTAAAAATGATAATAATATATGTTATTAAAATAAATGAATAAATAATATATTACTAAAAAATCTTTACCCTAATTCTGATGTGTTGTGACTTCAATAAAAATGATGAAAAATTAAATTTCAGTTTAATCCAGTTCACACTGTAGCAGTTTGCTAATATAAATAGCTTCTCCACCATTATTGTGTCTGTGATATCCCAGCCGACCCGAGGAGCACTGGTTATTAGATATAGTATGGTTTACATATTATTACACCCTTCTTTGCTTTTACTTTGAAGTTCTTATTAATCATGTAAAACGATAGAACTTTTGAAAAAGAGTAAAAGTAGTTTCGACAGTATGTTCAGAGTCACATATATACATAGATATTGAATAGTCAGATCAGATAGCACAATATATTTCTTAAAATGAAACTAACTTATTTACCATCATAGTTTCAGATATTTCTAAATTGTGTCTAGGTATTTACACAGCATAAGTGTGTTAAAACATAAAATAGTTTTGACTAAAAGTATAACATGTAACACCCACAGGTATCAACATTCCTTCCATGGAGTTGATCTATCAAGTCTTAGAGATACAGCTGTGGAGGAGTATTTTAGGCAGCCAATAGTCGTAAGATTTGGATTTTTTTTACGTTCGTAATGGTGAACACTGTTGTCCACAAAGATCAACGTTTCTTTGTGTTGAAGAGCTTGTTTTATTTTGGAGGTTCTTAAGATATTTAAAGTAATGATACAAAAAACTTATTAATGATACACAAAATAACAAAACCATCAATTTTTAGCATTGTTGTGTAGAGTCTAGCTACCTTTTTTTTTATAGTTGTCATTTTGTTTTTTCAGTGCTCTCCTTGTAATTTTGAATAGAATAATTTGTTTGTAGGTTTATTAAAAGATTAATTATGAACATTTTACTAACCTGATTTGCTTTTGTGATTAAAGTTTGAACATAAATAAAGTGTGATAAGATATATATTTTCTTCACTGTGGGTGCTTCTCAAGCACAAGAAACTTTTATACTAAAACAAGTCATGAGAGGCGAAGGCTGTAGTGTGTACAAAAGTTAAGTTGTGGTTTTGTTTAGTATATTATATACTCCATGTCATTTGGGGAATTGGTTATCCATTTTGTATAAATCATTCAAATAGCCTGGTAAACCACAATACAAGAAACAGTTCTCGGGCCATGTGCGGTCAGTTTATTTTAAGCGTATACTCTTATTCTAATAAGCAGAGTGATATATACATAAATTGTGTAGATAAAACTCATTCTGAGATGAGAATTTGTGCTCGTGCTTTAAATATTTTTTTTTATGGTTACAAAGGTACCAGTTTTTCCCCACCAAAATTTTTCTTTGCTGTGATGTTACCATAAAGTAACGATTTCCTGATTTTTTAGATATTTTTTGGGGGTTACAAAGGTACCAGTTTTTCCCCACCAAAATTTTTCTTTGCTGTGGGGTTACCATAAAGTAACAATTTCCTGATTTTTAAAATATTATTATTCAGCATTATTTTTGTAGTATTTTTTTCCACGCAGACAGAAGCTATAAATACTATAAGATTAGTAAAACATATAAGATGCTATTCAGCTTGAAGAAAAATAAAATTTTATTAATATACATTATTTGCTTTGACAAAAAGAGGAAAAATATAAAACCTTTTGATACACATTTAAAGTGGAGTTAGGTGTGGGCTAGCGACTAGTGATTCTTAGAGTTCATGATTGAAGGCCCACTGCTGCAAAAACACTCCACACCATGAGGCTGTTAGTAACTATCAGAGTGACTGTCAAATTCTATTATCCAATCAGATAAGAATAGGCTAAATATTGGTATCGGTTGCTTTTGACTAGCTGACTTCTATACAGACTTGTCAGTTCAAAATTAGGGATAACTATGTCTAGTTAGCTTTGAGCAAAATGCTTTAAAAAAAAAGCTTGGATAAAAAAAAACAAACAATTGTACAATTGGATCCAAATGCTTATTTTAGGAAATCTTCAAAGTTATTTACATATACATTATGTACGGAGGAATATTTTGTAAGAGTAGGAATAGACCCTTGATGGATTCTCACACACGGTGAGAAGACCTCAAGAGGAGTCTCTGTCTGTACAGTTTATCTTTTGTGTGATTCAAACAACCAACAATAAATTTGCCGTGCATAATGACCCCTGGTGGTTGAGTAGTGCCTCCTCCTATGGTCAGTTGTGGCTAGAGAGTCAGTCAAGTACCAGTATCCTAAAAATGACTAAGCAGCATTAATTACAGTCGTAAATTGCAATGTGTGCACAGTATGGCAGAACAGAGACAATTGATTTGGCTGAGAAATCAGAGCTCTATTTATTGCAAAATGGAGGGAAAGGTGACCAAAACTTGAAACTCGTGTGAAAATATTCCCCTTTGAACAAATCTTTTGTTCACAAGAAGACCAAAGAGACACCGAACTAGAAGTGTTACAAATGACAAAGTTTAAAAGGAATGTGAAAACATACTGTTTGTTTGATTGTGTAATCACTAGTGTGCTATTAATAGGGAACATCAATGTTCACCTGATTTGTAACACCTACAAGACGTGACCACTATCAGCTGATGTACGGTAGTGGCCTCACTTTGATTGACAGGGCAGCGGCAGGTGAGAGTCGGACCGGGGTGGCCGCAATACCGAGTTCAAAGAGACCGTTTGTGACTGGGAAACAAGTGACCACAAGCCAAGTTCACTGCAATACGAGTGACCATAATAGTGGATGTTTTACAAACATAAAATAGGAGGAAATATTTAGAACTGAGCCAAAATGGCTGTAATTAGGGGTTGACCGCTATATCGTGTCGACTAGTATCCAGGTCTGGACTATACTATGATGTTGTACGATGGTGCCAATTTAGAAGGGTTTACTTACTCTGTCCTGTTGACATTGGTCACTTGTTCAGATTAATTATGTTTTTAGCTTTTTGAAGGCCTAAGGCCTTTTTGACCATATCTAATTTTTTACCCATTTTGAATTTTAAAAGGTTTATATCTTTTATCCATTTTACTTTATACTCTTTGACATTTTTATAGTTGGTATTAAAGCAAAAACTAAATAAATCATTGTTTGGTGCAGATAGCTGTGATACTGAAACAACCAATCAGTAGGAATAGTTGATAATATTTTATTACGAAACAGTAGTAGGAACAGTTGAGAACATTTTATTATGAAACAACCAATCAGTAGGAATAGTTGAGAATGTTTTGTTATGAAACAACCAATCAGTAGGAATAGTTGATAATATTTTATTATGAAACAACCAATCAGTAGGAATAGTTGATAATGTTTTATTATGAAACAGTAGTAGGAATAGTTGATAATATTTTATTATGAAACAACCAATCAGTAGTAATAGTTGATAATGTTTTATTACGAAACAGTAGTAGGAACAGTTGAGAACATTTTATTATGAAACAACCAATCAGTAGGAATAGTTGAGAATGTTTTGTTATGAAACAACCAATCAGTAGGAATAGTTGATAATGTTTTATTATGAAGCAGTAGTAGGAATAGTTGAGAACATTTTATTATGAAACAACCAATCAGTAGGAATAGTTGAGAATGTTTTGTTATGAAACAACCAATCAGTAGGAATAGTTGATAATATTTTATTATGAAACAACCAATCAGTAGGAATAGTGTACAAGTAAAGAGTTACATGGGATCTATCTTAAGTAACCCTATGGGTTTCATCTTATCACTTGTATTTTTGTAACAGTTAAACGGGATCCATATTAAGTAACTTTACAGGTTCCATATAATCACTTGTATTCTTGGAAGAGTTAAATGTGATCCCTACAGATTTCATACAGTCAAAAAACGAAGTTTCAGGTAGAGCTGCCATTCATAGATATTTATTTGTTTATACTTCCGACATTACTAAAAGTCACTTGAAGTAAAGTATTGTCCAGCTTCAACAAAGAAATGTAACTAAATGTTTCAATTTGGTAACTTGTTTATTACTGAAGTTTGTATAAATCTAAACTCGTCTTAACGTTTGGTCCGTAATTTGTCTGATTTACACACTGAAAATGTGTACTGATTAAATTGTAATATTGCCAATCTTGGATATTTCATAGACACTTAACACTAGAAATGTAATTAATGGTATATTTGTCATTGTTTTAGTAGTAAGCTTGAAATGTTTATAAGCATATAATGAAGTTGACGTGATATGATCTACATATTTGTATATCTAGTTCCATATTAAAAGCTGTTATTACAGAATTTGGAAGAGTGTTAAAGACGTTTTTAATAAAAACACACATTGTTTTAGTTTTAATTGTCATCTGACGTTTCAAAGAGGTACGTAGTAGAAGTTAATAATACTTGTTATTAAACTACTTTAATATTATTAAATATACAACTTATTTTAACATTTCTAGGATACTTTTGACATTCGGATCTGTTTAGCTAAGTCACAAAGTTATACAGTGGATTTCCAGACTGCAACAGAGACTGATCTTCATAACATAGAAATACCTCTTAGCTTCCTTATACTTCAATGTGGCGAACTTCACGGTCTTGCTTTTTGGTTTGATGTGGCATTCATTGGTTCCTCGTGAGTATGTTTCCACTTGTCATCATACTAAGAATCTTTACGATTTACGAAATGTTTTCATAAATAAATTGTAAAATTTTAAAGGGACAAAAAGGAGCTCATTAGCCCATCAAGGATGTCCCTTCCAGCTCCCAACTATAACCACCCCTTACTACTCATGTATTCATACAATCTTTTCTTGAACTCAGTTAAATTTTCTGCCTCCACCACCTTTGAAGGTAGCTCATTTCAAAAGCCAACCACCCTGTTTGAAAAGTAATACTGTCTAAACTGCAGACGACTCCTACACTGCCAAAATTTGAATTTATTACCCCAAGTCCTATTGTTTTAACTGCTAAACACAAAATATTTTGATGGATCTATATTATCAATACCCTTAATAATTTTAAACACCTCAATCAAATTCCCTTTGACCTTTCTCCTCTCCAGAGAAAACAAATTTAGAGATTTTAGTCTTTCCTCATAGGACAGTCCCACCATCCCAGGTATCATCCTAGTGGCTCTCCTCTGAACCTTCTCCAACAATACCATCTCCTTGAGGAAGGAAGCCCAAAACTGTACACAGTACTCTAAATGAGGCCTTACAAGTGATCTATACAGTGACACAATAATATCCCTTGTCTTGTATTCAATATTTCTATAGATGCTACCCAAAATCGTATTAGTCCTATTGCTAGCTACAATTCACTGTTTAGATGACTTAAGTGATTTTTCGATCACAACACCAAGATCTTTTTCTTCGACCACAGTATTTAATGTATTCCCATTTAAATTGTAACATTAATTTGAATTGTGAAAACCTACATGCATCACCTTACATTTTGGATAATTAAACATCATTTGCCACGTATTGAGCCAATGCATCAAATGATTTAAATCTCCCTGTAAGCATCTTTGATACAGTTAGCCACTTTAAAAAATCTTAATGTCATCTGGAAGCTTAAAATTTCCAGAGCCAATATCATTAATATAAATCACAAACAGCAGAGGACCCAGCACAGAGCCGTGAGGCACACCACTTGTAACTGTGATCCAGTCAGGTCTAACTCCATTTATTACTACCCTCTGCTTTCTACTCTCCAGTCAAATTTTTATCCCCAAACCCACAGATTTGATTTTTGTAGCAAGTCTTTTGTGAGGCATCTTATCAAATCAAGGTAAACCAAATCCACAGTGTTTCCTTCATCAATTTTTGCAGTAACATCTTCAAAGAATGTCAAAAGATTTGTTAATAATGGCTTTCCTTTAGTGAAACCATGCTGGCTCTTAGATACAATATCAGACTGCTTTAAGTGACTCTGCAATGCATCTTTAATCACACTCTCCAAAACCTTTCCAACTACTGATGTAAGACTA